AAGTTAATGTCGAAATTCTAAAATAGTGCCTAAATTCTAAATAGTGTCGAAATGCCTAAATTAAGTTTATATAAGTTAAATATAAGTTGTGCCCCAGATGTCAAATTTGCCCCAAATGTCAATTGGCCTAAATTACTAAACAAATTAACATTACGGCGCACTTATGGAATTAAGAAAATTAAGCAAATATAGTGGAAAGATGGGTTGAATGGTGGGAAGATGGGTTAGACGTTAGATCTGGGATGCAGTAATATACCATAATTTAAATCAGGATATATATATGTTATATCCAGTGTTGGCAATTTTACCGGCCAAACATATTTTTGGCCGGCCAAAAATGGCTAATTCGGCCAAATTCATATGTTTTTTGGCCGAAAAGGCCAAGAAATTTGGTTTGGCCGGTAAAATTGCCAACACTGGTTATATCCACTTTACGGATAATAACTGATTATTCTCCGGTTCTTATTATACTTACTATTTTTTAAATCAAAGCACGTATTTTATAAAGTTTAGCTCGCAAGAATCATTTCATTTTCTTCTATTTTCTTCCTGTTTTTTTTGTCAATTTTTACTTTTCGTTAACAATTCAAATAGCTTAAAAAATTCGTTATATCATTAAAAAACAAACAAAAAAGATACATAGTTAAAAAGAAATATAAAAATTCCCGGATCGGCTCAAATCTTAGACCCGAACAATAAGTGCGAAAAATAGTATATAAGTATAAATAAGAACCGGGAATAATGATATATGTATTATAAAAAGGGATATTTTAAAAATATACCTATTTAGACATTTAGTCATATAATACGTATTTATTTCGTCAAACATTTAGGCATTTAGTCAAATTTAGAATTTTGACATTTCGACAAAAAATATTGGTATGTCGAAATATATTTAGACACAAATGTCTAATAAATCCAAAAGAGAAATTGGGCAATCGGAGAACGTAAAATGTAATTATCCCGGATCAGCCCGACACGTGAGTGAAGCGAATAAAAACGAAAAAAGCGAAAATACAAGAAACTGAGTGTTTAAACTATCTTGGGTCACTAATTAAAAGTAACGAAAATGAAATTTTACATATAGGAAGTAATCGTATATTTCTATAGCATCTAACTTCAGCGTTCTAACCCTAAATTTTTATTTTCAAGAACTTTGTTATTTTTACGTTGAATTTCCTTTTTTGAGTTTGTATCACTTGCCACAAGTAGAAATCTAACCAAAGTCGGTCAAATAACTCATGCCACATATCGATATGAGTGAGAATAAAAACCTGGAACTGATTATAATGATTGACTATGATCACTTACAGGTTTTTATTCTCACGCACTCATATGTTTCTGACTTCATTTTCTCAACACCAGACCGAAACCTTATCTGGCATAAATACGTATGCATGACATCCCTTAATGCCATTTTATTTACCAAATCATCCGCTCAACAGTACAAAACTTGTGATGTATGGCCATCGATAGAACTTCAACTTCTGAAATTTCTTAACGTAAGAACGCATCTTTAGTTTTTGTCTAACCCTTCTAAATATTCCTTCAGAAAAGAAATGCAAAAAAGTGCTGTATATCTAAAGTATAATTTTTTTTTTAGATATGAGTCGAAGTTTTAACATACACGTTATTTTTTCTTCCATTTTATTAAAACAATAAATATGTCAACCAAATTATATTCAAAAGTTTACGTAACTGCCGAAGAAAAAAAATGTAACTGCAACCACGGTTATCTACCAGGCAGTTAAATCTGAGCCGTGGACTTCGAAAGAAGAACTCAGAAAGGTAGTCTACCAAGCAATTTCAACAGCGTCAAATATATACGCTGAAGATTTTGCTTATCTAGAAAAACTTGGACAAATACCCCCTCAAGTGAGTTTTTACAAATATGAACTAAAAACAACATAGCCCATTAAATTGAATGATGTGTGTCGCAGTTTGGTTCTCTCTGAATAGAAAACATATCAGTTTTGACCGTTCTATTTAGCCCGTGTACAGGATTTATTCCTGGGAACATGAGGAGAGTGGTTAAACTGAATTATTATGCTTTGATATATGTTGTGAAAGCAGGACCATGCGAAAGTTAATGTCAGCGTGTGGGCCCCACGGGGCATTAGCTTTGCCTGTGACATTCTGACAACACACGCGTTAATATATTATATATTCTGCTGGTATAATGGTTATAACCTAAATCTATTTTTTTATTAGTTTGAGATGGCATATGAGGGGGTTCATAGTTTACTTAATATTGGCGCATTGAAAGTGAACAAAGAAGAACCCCTCACTTTCGAACAAATTGACGCCAACCTTCAGAAGATGAAAGTAAAATTATCGGTAATTATTAAAATTTTGGGATGTGCCTAATTTTTCCGGCTATCATTTTACCGACACCTAATTTTACCAACACCACTTTCCTGACTAGAGATGGGCAAAATTTTTATATATTTTTACATATTTTAACGTATTCTTACAAATTCAATACGCTAATATAAAAGAAAGACTTCAAGTTTAATATTTATTTATTTTTTTAAAAAATTTTTAGAGAAATTTCAATTTATCGCATACAATAATGATTAATTTAATAATTAAGCATTATCAAGATTTTCTAAAACTAACCAATTCTCTAAAGTTTTTCCTTGAATACTATGCGTAGCCTGAATAGAAGATTCAATTACGACTTCATTATATATAATTTTTATCATTAGTATTAAAATTATCAATGTTTTCAATCGTTTGCGATACATTTTCTTCAAATTATTCTTCCAAATTATCATTATTATTTTCCATATCATCAAATCCAATATTCGATACAATATTTTCAAGTCATGCTTCGTTAGAATTAGCTGTATTAGTTTGAACGATTTGATCGAACCTATTTCTTTATTTTAAACAATATATAATGTGAATTATTCTTTTTTGTGCAATATGCCATCGAATGCATGTTATTTTTGTTGCACGCTCATTTGTAAGTTTGTTACGCTGTGGTGAATGGATATTTGCAATAAATGGCCAGAATCTTTCGCTTTCAGCAGAAGTAATTCGTAAAAACAGCTAATTCTGGTGCGATCGATCTTTTATTTAACTCATAAACAATTTTGTATATACGTAGTTTATACTGTAGTTTATTTGTAATTGAGTAGTTTATTTGTAATCCATGACTCTTAAATTACTTAATATATGTAATCATTTATAAGATATGTAAGGGTTAAATTTTTAGCTATCGCTTACATAATTATTACATTGCCCGACAATCATTCTACCGGCAATATTATTTTTCCGACAATATTTTTTTCCCGAAATTCATTTTCCCGACATCTCAATTTACCAACAATCATTTTCACTCCGTTTTCCCGACAATAACCTTCCCGAATTATTTTACTAATAATATTTTAATAAGAGTATTGCATCATCTGGTTTAATTTTAGCACTTCTGAAATCTGTGCCAGGTTATGCATGATCTACAAATCAGATTTCGAGGATCAGGTGTAACGTAGCACGATCAAAACAAACGTTCGTTTTGTCAAAAATCCTTCTTTCTCAAAAATCTGCATAATAAACCACCTTTAGTGCTCTAACAAAAAGTTTTTCTTGCGCGATTTTACTATAAACCCACTTAGTTTTAACTTTATATAAAACACCCCTAACCCTAATATTAATGAACTTTAAAAATTTTTTAAATTTTTACATGATGATCGGCAACATGCATAACCTGGCACAGATTTCAGAAATGCTTGCAAATGTCACTTTCTAAAATCTGATTGGTAATATTTGTTGAAGATCTTAATCAAACTTTGATTGTTCAGTTGTCACGTGACCTTACCCTATCATTTAACTGATTAAGTCAATAAAATATAAAGATTGGCTCGTTATAAATTTTTTGACCGGTTCAACCCCTACACCTAACTACATAAAAAAATTCTGGACCTTGCAAGTCAAGTTCGTAATACTAAAGAATTCTCTTAAACACAACATATTCATATAAAATATTCAAAAAAATCAAACCTAAAATAGAATAAGAATTTCTTTAAGAAAATTGCTACAAATCATAATTAAGCCACTATCGAAAAATTGTTATACTCAAGATGGCATGGTTGCGTTTTATTGTTAAAGCAATTGTATTTGAAATATGTATATAAAATTTTGATTATACTTCGTTGAACACACATGTGAAGCATATGTTTAATTATATCGTTATAATTACTTTTTTTAAAAATTATATTGACTAAAAATTGATCTATGCCATTTCTAATTTAAAAAAGAAATACAGCAATTAATAATTGAAATAAATTGAAAAAATGATGCGAAGCATGCATAGATTTGAATCTAAATGCGACGTAATAATTTCTTTATTAATCAGAAATTTATACAAATACCGATGGAAAAACGACGTCATTTTCAAATTGAAAATGCCATGCGCCAATTAATAATTGACATGAATTGATAAATGATGGCCCCCAATGGTCTCTTTATGTCTCCGCAGCATTCGCATAACTTTATTCCATACCATATAGCCAGTTATATGATGACGGGCTCTAATACTAGTTGTCATAAAAACTTTACCGGTAATTGCTATTGTAAAAAAATTTAAAACCTCGCCCCCGGGACAATGCTCGGGCCTAAAGGCGTAGGATCGATTTACTGTCACGTGATTGTCAGAAATTAGGGTTTTGGCATTAGTTAAAGTTAGAAAGAGACATACTATATCAAAATTGCACGAGGAAAATTTTTTGTTAGAACTGAAATGTCGATTTACTAGTACAAATTTTTTAAGATAAACATGATTTTTGAAATTCTTACGCTACACCAGATCTTGACTTTTAATTGGCTAATTGATTTCGGAAAATCACATGACAGTAAAATCGATCCTACGCCCTGATGTTGCCCGGGCCTAAGTGCTAGTTAAATGCATTGTGACGTAACCGTGAAAATAACAGCAAAAAAAATTATAAGCGAACAATTAGGAGCCGTGGAATAATAATTGATATAACATAAGTAATACATGTAATAAGATATAAATTAATAAAATAATCAAGTACAATAAAAATATATATCGATGAGTTATTAGTTCTATAACTCCAATTGTTAAATTTCTTACGCCAAAGCTACAGTAAAACTTTCACATGATAACTTCACCCATTGTTACTCTAACGCTAATTCTTGTACACATAAACACTTGAAATGTTGTGCCCGTAACTTCCCTGTTTTAAAAAATAGTCTCACGTGAACTAGACGCGTGATTTACTAAAATAGGTTTTATTCCAGTGCGAAGAATTATATCTAATGGTAGAACAATACCAAGTTTTGCGCTTGGATTTCCTCCAATGAATATACCGTTTAGACTCACCGTTTGCAAATTATTTAAATAAGAAAATGATGTCCCTCCACTATCACCAAAAGTGCCGGGATTTTGATTAGACCTTACGATAGTTACACCCGTGTTTTTTAGCTCTCTCTTTCTGTCTATAGTTCTTATCCAAATACCGTTAAATGCTAGTATTTCACTACAGGTAACACCCGTGGTACAGCCAGATTTACATATATGTGCACCATAGCTAGACAAAGTCTCACTCTTATTAGTAATTAACTCAGGAAATTGTTCAGAATTATCATTCCTAATCATCGGTGATAAGTTGAGATTAATATTTTTAAATATTCTGACGAGTGCAAAGTCGTGTGGTTCATGAGAAAATCGCATTACATTCCCAATATGCATCGTTACCCCTTCGCGATTAACCAAAACCGCACCAGGTAGATATTCGTCAAAACAATGTCCTGCAGTTACAAGCACGTCACTACCATTCTTTTGCCCAAAAAAACCAACTGAACAATAACTGTTGTGTTTCACAACCAATATCTTTTCACCATTTAATAACAAAGGTCGTAAATCACGTCGTATATTATGATCAGGTTCATTATTATTTATGGCCCGAGGCGAATTATGATGCTCAGGTAGATACCATATAATCGGATCAAATTTTTTGATAGCATTTACGAAGTCCTCATAGTACGATTCTTGGTAATCTCCTAAATGTATAACTACATTATTAAGTTGAATATCAATATAAAAAAGTACATCATCTGAACTGTAATAATGAGTTGCGTTGAATATATTATCCTGCTTTGATTCTAAATCAACAAGTGAATTAGGTTCATGTTTAAATATTAATAAACCTAAGTATGGTTGCATCTTTTTCGAGTTTTTTAAAATCTCAATAATTAAAGAATCCACATAATAGACGGTGATTTGATTAAATTTTGCACTTATAGTACTTCCTCCAAAGTTTGATTTGTAATTAACTAGTAATGAGTTTATGATTTTATCTGCTTCTTTTAGTATTTGTTCATCATGTAATAATTTTGGTATTTCATGTGTATCTACTCGCCAGAATTCTGCTAATGGTTCTAGTGCATGGATCATAAAACAGTTTTTTTGCAGGAAAATAAATAAAAAAATCAATAAAAAGTAGATATTTCTCATAATTACTCAGTTTTAAATATTATCGGTAGATGTTAACAAAGAGAACAAAGAGAAAAAGATGCTTATACTAGTGATTATAGTCGATGAGAAATTTATAGGTTTAGGAGAATCAATATTCGACACTTGATTTCAAATTTAACAGTTTACTATTATGATCTATCTTATAGATTCAAACTTTATATATGTTGTATAAGGTAAAACGAATATCAGTATAGTATAGGTGGCCCTATGGTGTTTAATTTCGGCCTGTACCATACTGATCTAGAGTTAGAATCCGGATATATTTTTATTATCCGGATATAAATAAAGTCAAAAAATATATCCGGATTAATCTATTTT